AATTAAAAATCAATACAGAAGTACCATTCAGCATAGAGTAGGGCAGCAGTGTTCTGCTCGTGTAGGTGACGTGATATCCTCCATTATAAAGCATATGAAAACCAAGGGAGTTAGATGTCAAGTTGCAGTTCACCCCTTCAATTTGAATCCCTCATCCTACCCCATATGGATGTCGGTTCCCAGTGGCTGGGTTTTGGATTTAGAGTAGAACTGATCAACATAAGTCCTCACACATATCTTATGGATGTCTATCTTCCTCTCTCAATTATATTCGGTGGGTCATGGTGGAGGTATTTGGGTTCTTTCCCTTCTGCTCTCCCTCGATGTATCTTACACCAAGGATGTTATTGCACCTGGATTGGTTCCTGTCAGTTTCACTGTTGAGGGAGTTGATTTCTCTATGGTAGAGATTGTTTCGATACCAGATGTCAGGTTCCCGAATTTATATAACATTTTCTATTCTTAACAAGTGCCTTATTGCAGAGTAGGGGTGGTGGTTGAGATTCCCTCCGGTCTCTTGAACTTGAGGTGAAGATGGTATGATCCTCATCCTACCCCTGAGTGGATGTTGGTTCCTAGCAGCATGGGTTTTGGATGTAGTTGATTTGCTGAGTGTGGTCCATCACACCCTAGCCACTCTACACCTGGGGGCATTCCATTGTTTTTCTCACAGCTCTTGGATGTGCTCCTCTGATTTTCCGCCCACCTATACCACATCTTTTTCGGATGGGCAAAGAGTATACCTGGTTCAGATGTGGTGCAGCCTCCCACATCAGATCTTCAGATCTAACTCTCTTGTCTCGAGGTGTGTCCTTCAGATGCTTTTGAAAAATGCTTCTTTTCTTCCCTTGCACTGGTCCCTCCACCTATTTAAAGTGGGATTCTAGCTATTTATGTGAGTGGAGGTAATGTACCATATCAGAAGTTATAATTTTCCTACACTGAAAATGTATTTCCAATAAGTACTCACCTCCTTTCACACTTCCCACCCTTCCTCCCACTGAAATATGGTGCTTCAATTTTCTGCTAAAACTCAGAGTGATAGTCTGGTAGAATTGGATAGAGGGAGTCACATGCATAAGGAGAGTGTGTTGCACACTCATAAGTGGAGAGCTGTCACATGATGATTTGCATGATAGACACATTGGAATGAGTCATTTCCAATGGAGGGGAGGCAGAAGGCTTGTGGCATGCATGAAAAAACATTTTGCATATAGAAGGCATCACTGAATGAGAAAAGCTATTTATGTGAGAGGAGGTAAGTACGTATCAAAAATACATTTTCAGTATAGGAAAATTATAACGTTGGTGTGTGTTGAATGGTATATATATGTGAAATTTTAAAAAAGTGCAAATGTTTTATGTATTAAATCTAAAAACCTAAAATTATTTTTGTGGAAATATCTGAGTTCTGTGTGAAAACATTTAGATTTAGAACTGTATATTGATGATTTTAGTGGCAAATTACACTTAAAATTCTCTAATCCTATTGCCACAGGTATCCTTTACTGCACATGACACAAGGTTTTAGTGTCTTACATTCAAAATGTTATTAAACTAATTTTTGTTTATGTTATAACAATTATAATAGCGTAAAATCTTAGCTAATAATTCATATTTTCATAGTATACAAGTTTTAAGTCTTCATTCTACAAGTCAATATATTAAAAAAAATTCTGAATTTCCACTAGTGTGACCCACCTGACACACTTTCTCATCATCCATATTTTATGAAATTAAATGTAAAATACACTCTGTAAAATCAGTATTGCTTAAAAAAAACATAATTTTTATAGTGTTCAATTTTGTTTGTTTATAGAGCTATCGAATAGAAAATCAGATCCTTCCTGCCACACCCACCTATCACATCCTCTCTTTCAGAATTCATTGATAGTTTTCTCTTACATTTCATTATACTTTACATATAACCAATAGAAAGTCAAATGACATATTGTATAATGTCATGTTCAGAACAGTTAGATGTTAATTTTACTCAGGGTACCAACATCGTTCCCATGGGGAAGTTAACGACTAGCTTGGATGAATTTGTAACGATTCTTGTCGCATGGATAGAAAGCCAGAAAAATTTTGAGAGGTAAGGGAATTTGTCTACATTTTGTATGTTATTAGTCTATATTCTTTGGTGCATTATTTAATTAAATAAAAATCATTAAGTGCATTACCATCACTAGTATAAAAAAAATAGGGTTAACTCTTTGAAAACCGACAAGAAAAGAGAAGATTGGTTAAGTATTTTATTTCTTGTTTTTCATGTTTACTCTTTATGTATAATTATAAAAGTGACTAAAATGTAAAAATAGGGATCCTCTTAGGTTAGTTAAGATTAGATTAGGTAAAATATATATATTAATAATAATATAATAAAAATGTTTCATGAGGTACACACAAGGGCAGCTCATGGGTAATGTAATTTGTCAGCGTAATGTGAGCAGCACGTTCCCCGAGTGATTTACAACTTATAATGGTGCAGATAGTAGTTAGACATGGTTCAAAGGGCAATAGAACAATAAAATTTAATTATGAACAGATGTATAATGTTACGAACCTAAAGCTACTGAGGGTAATTTAGGTTTATTTAAATTGTTTTTTGGTGGTTACGAGGTCGGTTGAATTGACTGATCCCGTTTTGAGATAGGTTAGAGAAAATAACAGATAAACTATAAAGTTTTACTGAAAAAAAGCGTTTGAAGTGCA